GGGGGGGGACAAATTAATATGGAATTCATGAGCCAGTCTGTCCAATCCAGGAGTCAGCTCCATTGACCACAACTAGAGAAAAACTCAAAAGTTGGGCGCCAGTTGTAATTTTTAAAGGAGAACTATGAGGTGCGTGCTTTTCACTCACCTCATAGTTCTAGCCGACCTGTGACAATGAGACTGTCACAGGTCGGCTCAGTAGATCGGGAGGTGAGCGAACACATACCGGCGTTCGCTCACTTCTCGATCCTGTCGTGGCAGAGAGCCGTGACAGGGGAGGGGCTGGATTCCCCCCTCCGATCCTCCAGCGCTGTCTGGCGGAACGGACTGGGAGGGGGCGGGTACACCTGGCTCTGCCTCTAGATAGGCAGAGCCAGCTGTCACTCACGCAGCTGGGCGGATCCAGACATAATTGTCGGGATCCCTTTCAGCTGCGGCGTCTCAGTATGCCGCGTAGCTCGCGGTATACTGAGCCTAGGGTGACAGGAGGACGCAAGTTTGTGTCCTCCAGTTACCCTTAGGAGAACTATGGGGGAAAATACCTGACCCCATAGTTCTCCTTTAAGAAACATTGGCTACTCATCTCCTGGGATTTGTCCAGCCCTGCATTAAAGCAGACCTTTACAGTCAATAAAACTCCACCAATGCCTCCCTCTATGTATGATGATTATTAATAACATAGACATGTCAGGTGTAATATCTTATGCAATATCTTTTCATCCCAGTATAGTGCAAGCATGAACAGCCTACATGAGAGTGACAACTCTGCTTTGAATTCCATAGCAGTGTAGCAGCATTGTCCCAGGTCACAGGCAGCTGCATGTAGTGAACTTCACTAACAGGATCAACAAGTATTTGTGAGAATTTGCAGGGGGACAAAAGCTGGCCATACATGGACTCTTTTTTGTTGTTCAGCCCCGCAGGCTGAATGTAAAAATAGGCCGTTTAGCATGGATAGGGGAATCTCCACCCAACCCCACCCCACCAGGCTAGTCTATTTTGACAGCAGTGGGTGTAGAGATGTCAGAATACCGAGCGGATTTGCTGCAGTCACCGCTTGGACAAGATTTTCCAGACCGGCTCCTTCAACAAAAGTTGATAGCAAAATCGTCTTTTGTCAAACCAGAGGGGAGTGCTGGCAACGCAACACACTGCTCGAATTTTAAGTTAGCAGAGCTATGGCAGCTTAAAATCGAGCGAATGTCAAACCTTTTTTTTTGGGTTGTTCTCATTTGGGTCACAGGAGTGTATTTACTAATGTCCTCCTGTGAGCCAAACTCATCATATAGCGGGCTACTGCCCGTTATATCCTGACAGCGCAGAACCGCACTGCAGCTGGGAATGATCCCAACAATATTGTTGGGATCCACACAGTTACCCGATTGTCGGCTGGCTCTGCCTCTCTAGCTGTGCCCGTCCACTACCCTACCCGTCCCCCCAGTCAGCGCTGGAGGAATAGAGAGGGGAATCCCTGTGGGGAGCGGTGACTGACAGTGATCCCCCAGTTTGCGATCTATAGAGCCAGCATGTTTCAGCTGCTCAAAGTATTGCAAAGAGTACATTTTACTCTCCCAATGCTTCTCCTTTAAAGAACAACTGCAGTCTTTCTCTACGGCTGGAATAAAGAATAAATACTTACCAGATCCTCGGTCCTGTGGCAGTGACCACTCACCTCTCTCCCCTGCGCTCCCACGGTGGAATGCATTAGACGCAATGACTGCTGGAGCCCGGGAAGGGAGGGTGGGGGGGAGGGGAAAGAGGCTGCGGGCACACGTCTAGCAGCCAGATGGGACAGAAGGATTTGGTATTTCTTCTTTATTTTCACCCCTAAAGAAAAATGGGCAGTTAACCCTTGCCGTCAACTTTTTAAAATCCTGGAGGTGTTCTTTAAGTGGAAACGGAAAGTTCCGATGCACTTCCAACTAAGGGTTGCAGCACATATATTTTGTTAATGGGGGACCATAGTTCTACTTTAAGTAAACAATCCTGAATATCCAGCCACATACAGTATCACATCCGCAAGGTCTACTGGGTTACATTTTCTCTGCTGAAAAGTATTTTCCCACAATATGTATTTTTTGCTTAAACACAAATCTAATCTAAACCTCGGCCACAAAATCCTGCCCAGTGAAAAGACAGTCAGCAAATAAACAGGAAAACATCAACGTTAGTCCTCCCTTTGGAAACAAGCAAGGAGATTGGAGCTAAATTTAGCCAGCCAGAAGATTTTGCAGAATGCCGAGGACACAGATCACTTGTATCAATTTATGAAGCACTTCCAGGCCTGTTCTTTCCTCTGGCCCCTTATCCATAGACGGATGGAGGATGGAGGGGGCTGGGAGCTGAGCAGATGTCTTGGGAAGGGCAGGCTGATGGTGTGCGCAGACTCCCGGCACACACAGGATGATGCCACATCTCCCAAACACTCAGCAATGGGTACTGCAGACCTGAGCTGGCTTATTTCAGGAGAGGATGACTTAGCGAGACGGCAGGCGCACCGCCACGGACGACGTACCCAGAAATCAGACCCTCGCTGTGCAGCACATTCGCCCACAGAGCTTGATCATCCCTATTAAACATAGATGGTTCCTTCCAGCATCATGGCTGCAATCGGCATACAGTAAATCTAGCACATCCATGTTTTTCCATGACTGAAGATACTGCGTCAACATCAGGAAACAGTTAACCCTACATGTGCTGCGGTCACATGCTGGTGCTATGCTTTGAGGCCAACAGAAAGTCTCGATAAAAAGATTTTCTTATACAGCTGATGCAAACAGCGTCGGGGGTCATGCAAAATAGATGAGGTTCTAGCACAAGGTCAATGTCAATGTACCAGCAATGCAGCTGTGAAGGGGCGAGGGTACAACTGGCCTAAGGTGTCACTTTTGGATAACCTACACTGTGAAATCTCAACACGGGCACACATATACATTGTTGCATGGTAGTATATAGTATTACACATCAGCATTTGCAGCTTTTAGTCAGATCCAATGACCCGGGTATGAATGTGAGTGATGGAACGTTGCTGCCTAATGCATTTGGTGGCAGGAGCTCTCTATAGGACTCCAGGTGGAAGGGACTGTATAAGAGGCAGTGTTTGTAGTATAGGACGTTGTGTGGGTAGCAAAAAGCATGCCAGCGTCAAATATCACCAGCTCAATTACTGCATCACTGAAGCGGCTTGTACCTGGTTGGGACGACAGTGAATGTGACCGGTATGGTGTATAGTATATGATGCCAGGTCTCTGTAGTGCCCCTGGTGCAGGTTATGGTATATGATACCAGGTCTCTGTAGTGCCCCTGGTGCAGGTTATGGTATATGATACCAGGTCTCTGTAGTGCTCCTGGTGTGGTGTATATGATGCCAGGTCTCTGTAGTGCCCCCTGGTGTGGTGTATATTATGCCAGGTCTCTGTAGTGCCCCTGGTGTGGTGTATATGATTCCAGGTTTCTGTAGTGTCTCCGGTGTGGTGTATAGTATACGATACCAGGTCTCTGTAGTGCCCCTGGTGTGGTGTATATGATGGCAGGTCTCTGTAGTGTGCCCGGAGTGGTGTATTTGATGCCAGGTCTCTATAGTGCCCCCAGTGTGGTGTATATGATGCCAGGTCTCTTGTAGTGCCCCCAGTGTGGTGTATATGATGCCAGGTCTCTTGTAGTGCCCCCAGTGTGGTGTATATGATGCCAGATCTCGGTATTCGGTATAGTATATTATGCCAGGAATCTGTAGTGCCCCCCGGTGTGGTGTATATGATGCCAGGTCTCCGTAGTGCCCATGGTGCGGGTTATGGTATATGATGTCAGATCTCTGTAGTGGGTTATGGTATATGATGTCTGGTCTCTGTAGAGCCCCTGGTATGGTATATGGTGCCAGGTCCCTGTAGTGGGTTATTGTATATGGTGCCAGGTCCCTGTAGTGGGTTATGGTATATGGTGCCAGGTCCCTGTAGTGGGTTATGGTATATGGTGCCAGGTCCCTGTAGTGGGTTATGGTATATGGTGCCAGGTCCCTGTAGTGGGTTATTGTATATGGTGCCAACCCTCTGTAGTGGGGTTATGGTATATGGCGCCATCTCTGTAGTGGGGTTATGGTATATGGCGCCATCTCTCTGTAGTGTAGTGGGGGGGTTATGGTGCCATCTCTCTGTAGGAGGGGGGGTGTTATGGTGCCATCTCTCTGTAGGGGGGTTATGGTATATGGTGCCACCTCCCTGTAGTAGGTTATGGTATATGGTGCCATCTCTTTGTAGTGTGTTATGGTATATGGTGCCATCTCTCTTTAGTGGGTTATGGTATAGGGTGCCATCTTTCTGTAGTAGGTGATAGTATATGTCGCCATCTCTCTGCCCTCTCACCTCCTTGAGCTGCTCCAGCTCCTGCCGGGCGGTCTCATACTCCAGCTCCAGCTCATCATATTGCTGTTTCAGCTGCTGTTTCTCATCCAGGACCACCAAGCC